CCTGGGCTCAAGTGAGTCTCCTGCCTCAGCCTCCCAAGTAGCTGGGACCACAGGCGCCCACCACAATGCCTGGCCATTTTTTGGTTGCAGCCATCATTGTTGTTTTGGTGGGCCCGGGCTGGATTCAAACCCACCACCTTAGATGTATGTGGCTGGCGCCTTAGTCACTTGAGCCACAGGCGCCAAGCCAAGGCAGTTTTTTTTTTAAGGTTAGTCAGGTAAAGCAGTGGGGGAATGGAAAAGGAACAAAGGAATCTGTAACTGTTCTTTTTTTTTTTTAGACAGATTCTCACTTTCTTGCCCCAGTAAAGTGCTGTAGTGTCATAGCTCACAGCAATCTCAAACTCTTAGGCTCAAGCAATTCTCTTGCCTCAGCCTCCTAAGTAGCTGGGACTACTGGTGCCTACTACAATGCTGGCTATTTTTTAGACACAGGGTCTCTTGTTTAGGTTGGTTTTGAACTGGTGAGCTCAAGCGATCCACCTGCCTTGGCCTCCCAGAGTTCTGGGATTACGGGCTGTAAGTGGTTATGATCAATTAGTTGTATACACCCCTGAACCTGGACTAGCCAGAGACCAATGTTTTTGAATATGAACATAACAGAAGAAAAGATTGGGGTCTGGAGAAGTGACGCAGCTTGTATAGCTCAAAAAATAAAAAGAAAGAAAGAGAAGAAAAGAAGGGTCATACTCTGGTGCCCAAGCTGGAGTACAGTGGCTTGATCATATCTCACTGCAACTTCCAATTCCTGGCCTCAAGCAATCTTCCTGCCTTGGCTGAGATTACAGGTGTAAGCCACTATGCATGACCCTTTTTAAAGTTAATGTTTAATTAAATAATACACAAGTAACTTCTGTGTGTAAAAAAATGAAAACGTCACACTATAGTTCCTTTGGGCCAGCACCCTGAATTATAGACCTCTTTCCTACTCCTCAGAGATAGCCCTGTTGTCAAGTTTGTCTAAATCCACTCAGAATCCTTTATCCTACTCTGTCAATTAAGTAGTTGACTCTCAAGGGTGGTTTTTTTTTCTTTTTTTGAGACACAGCCTCAAGCTGTGTAGAGTGGCATCATGGCTCACAGCAACCTCCAACTCCTGGACTTAAGTGATTCTCTTGCTTCAGCCTCCCAAGTAGCTGGGACTACAGGTATCCGCCACAATGCCTGGCTATTTTTTAGTTGTAATTATCATTGTTGTTTGGCAGGCCTGGGCTGGATTCAAACCCGCCAGCTCTGGTGTATGTGGCTGGAGCCTTAGCTGCTTGAGCTACAGGCACTAAGCCATCAAGAGTAGTTTTTATCTTTGACTCTCCCACACATTTTTTTTTTTGAGACAGTCTCACTATGTCACCTTCTGCAGAGTGCTGTCGTGTCTCAGCTCACAGCAACCTCAAACTCTAGGGCTCAAGCAATTTTCTTGCCTCAGCCTGCCAGGTAGCTGGGACTACAGGCACCCACCACTACACCCAGCTATTTTTTGGTTGGAGTTGTCGTTGTTTTGCAGGCCTGGGCTGGGTTCGAACCCTCCAGCTCCAGTGTATGTGGCTAGTGCCCTAGCCGTTTGAGCTACAGGCACTGAGCCACGCACACATTTCTATAAAGCAGGAATACAAAGAATAGGAAGACAGAACTGACCAGAAACAATACTAGCTCTTTGGGCGGTGCCTGTGGCTCAGTGGGTAGGGTGCTGGCCCCATATACTGAGGGTGGCGGGTTCAAACCCAGCCCTGGCCAAACCGCAACAAAAAGGTAGCCAGGTGCCTGTAGTCACAGCTACTTGGGAAGCTGAGGCAAGAGAATAGCCTAAGCCCAGGAGTTGGAGGTTGCAGTGAGCTGTGTGATGCCACAGTACTCTACTGAGGGTGATAAAGTGAGACTCTGTCTCTGAAAAAAACCCCAAAACAATAGTAGCTGCCTGACAAAAGTTAAGAGATAAGACACAATCTGTACAGAATGGTCATTATAATAAATTCTATTCACTGAAGGCACAGCCTCAGGATTCTTTTTTTTTTTTTTTTTTTT